ACTATGATGTACATATATGTACTCACACACACATCACACAGACTATGATGTGCATATATGTACTCACACATACATAACACAGACTATGATGTACATATATGTACTCACACATACATCACGTACCATAAATTAACATAAAGTAACAACTCCGTGACAAAAAGTTGAGTTGGAGGCCTCACACAGAGGCAGTTGGATCTAGGATCTCATTCAACCAAACCTATAGGCCAGAAGCCCTAGGCCTAATGTGAACACTCACTCATCTTCCCTATGGGGCTGGGATGTGAGTCAGTTGATGGGGTGCCTGCCTACCATGTACAAAAGCTGGGGTTAGAAAAACCAGGTATGGTGGCACACACTGGTAATCCCAGTACTTGGAGGTGGGGCAAGAGGATCAGGAGTTCAAGGTCATCCTTGGCTACCCAGAGTCTGAGGCCACGCTGGACCACACGACAGAGATCTTGTTTCAAAAACTGTTTAAAAAGGAAACAAAAACCTAGAGACGCAAGCTAGAGTGATTCATGTCTTACCACGGAAAGACTGACTTCAAATACTAGGAATTCAAGACCAAAGATGATATTGAGTTCCCAGACAGCTAGAGCGACCTAGTGAAGACCCCGTCTCACCCCTCTGTGGGTTTCTATTGCTGTGGTGAACCGCCGTGACCAAAATTCGACTTGAGGAGGAAAGGGTTTTATTTGGCTTACACTTCCACATTGTAGTCCCACCGCTGAAGGGAGTCCAGACAGTGAGTCAAGCACAGGAACCGGGAGGCGAGAGCAGATGCAGAGGCCATGGAGGGGTGCTGCTTACTGGCTTGCTCGGCATGGCTTGCTCCGCCTGCTTCCTTCTTTTTCTTGTTTTGTGTTTTTCAAGACAGGGTTTCTCTGTGTAGCTGCCACTGTCCTGCTGGTATTCACTCTGTAGACCAGGCTGGCCTGGAATTCACAGATCTGTCAACCTTTGCCTCCCCCATACTGGGATTAAAGGCATGCACCACCGCCCAGTTGGGAGTTTACCTCTTGACAGATCAAGAGCGGCATATGTTTCTGAAACAGCAGCAGAACATGCTTTTGCCGTAACTACCACCCTTGCCAGCCACTCTCAAATGTCCTCTGTCCACTCCTAGTCTGGCTGAAGCCTACAAGGCCCCCACCACAAGGCGCATGCCATGTTTTGTCTTGACTGGCCTTCCCACCCAGTGGCCCATCTTACCCCGTGCCTTGCTGCACAGTGGCCTTACACATACTTGTCTCTTCTCCTCGAAGGCAAACGCAGCTGTTTCCGGACTTCCTGCATTCTTATCACCTGAGTTGCCCTGAGCAGCTCTTGTTCTTCGGAACCTACAGGAACCTACCAGTCATGTTGCCAGTTTCTCGGAGACTGCCCCATGTAGCTGGCAGATCCCACACTGTGCCCAGCCTGTCCCAGAACAAGAGCTCTACAAACAGGACGTTCTCATGTTGCAGTCTACAGAAGCTTACTGAGGACTCGCCCAGTGGGAAACCTTACCAATGCAGGAAGGACCAGACACCTCAACCACCGTTTCTCACTGTCACCGGGCGATGTCTGGAGGAAGGCAGACTTCCACCTCCACCTTCTGATCCAGAGTTTGTATTTTAGCAAAGGCCTGGTGGTTCCTATGCAAGTCAGAGCTAGAGGCAACTGAAAGCAACAGTTTCCCACAATAAAGATGTTGCACGCTTCCTCCTGGGGAGATGTGGGCAGACATCTGTTCTCCTCAGATGTGGCATTGAAGACGGACCAAAGAAATAATTGAGGCCAACTGTGGCTTGGTGAGCGGAGGGAATTGGTTAGGGTCGCTTACAGGGTGACTGCAGGTAGTTGGATCGCCACTGGCACGGGCAAGGACTCAGGAAAGCATGTCTCTGGACACTCCCTGTAGGCTTGCAAGCAGCTCCGCAGTCCTCACCTCTCAGCACTTAGGGCAGGGGCCTCAGAGATCCTGCAACTTTCTTTCTTGAGAGTTCTTGTACTTTGAGTTCTGTGAGCATTCCCCTCCCTCCAAGAGGGACCATTTGAATTAGCTGTACAGTGAGAGAGTAGGGTCAGGTTGGGGTGCCACAGATGCCCCTGGAGTAAATCTGAGGAGATATGGTGTGGATGGACATGGGGGGGGATTATGTACCCAGTTTAATTAAGTTCAGATATCTAGGGATTCAGAGATCAGCCTGCCTCTACCTTCTGATGCTGGAATTACATACAGCCTTTCTGAAACTACCATGCCTGACCACAGTTCGGAAACAACCATCTTGTTTATTTGTTTATTTACACCCCCTCCCCGTGTGCAAGCGCACACGTGCGTGTGTGTTTCTGCATGCACACGTGCATACGCATGCACGTGCACATACACGATGTGCACCCTGTGACCAGGCTAGCTGGCCTATGAGCCTCAGTGCTTCCAGAGTGATTCCAGTCCTCACTTCCTATTATCAATAGTACTGGGATTACAGACTACAGGTCTGCCTCTGTATGAGTTTTGGGGATCTGAACTCCAGACTTTACATTTGTACAGTCTTGCAATGGTATTTTGAATTTTCTGTGCTATACATAGTTATGTGCAAATTTTTAATAATATAGAGATATAATAACAGAAGGCAAAAAGTTGCTTGCCATACCCTTACTGCCTTGAGAAGACTGGAGGAAACCTGCTAAAGAAGAGAAGGGGTGTCCTTCCTCCCCCAAAACTGCTACCAGTGGCAGGGGTTGGCTGTGATTTGGGCTCTGTTCTGCTGGCAGGGTGGAGCCTGTCATCTGGCCCGGACAGAATTATTGCCTCCAATTACATGGTTGATTATCAATTACTTGTGTCCATGGGAGAGCATGTGTGCATGTGTGCCTAAGTGCCTTTGCAGATCATTAAAGGTCGTAATTCTGGATTACCGTTGATTAATGAGAGGGAGGCCTGGTACCTCCAGCAGCCGGCATGGCAGCCCCACAATTATATCCCAGCTGATCAGTAATTGGTGCATCACAAGATGATTTCTCTCTCTGCTGCCTCCTCCCAGCTTCTCCTGCAGGCTCCACAATTAGCACTATTGCTCATCCCTTCCCAGCCCAGGCAGATTTCAGAGAGCTGCTTCCTGGCTAGGAGACACTGTAGGGCATGATGGGAGACCCTGCTCCCAGGCAGGATGCTGATAGCTGGGTTGGGGGAGCTGGCAGATGCACCGTGGTGGGGACATGGGGCTGGCGAGAGCTTAGTGCCTGAGATCCAAAGCTGTCCCCACCGTAATGTTCTTCCAAGCATGTTTGATCCTCCATGCACAACTGGAGATCAGGAGTGGGAAAAGGAGACCTGGAAAAGGACGGTAGCGCTTTTCTGGGGCGCGCGGGTCCTCAAACAATAGTCTATGATAGTGTAGCAACATGCACCACAGAGCCCAGGGCAAAACTGCAGAGGAGGTCCTCCCGCCATTGGCAGCTGGCCAGTCCTTTGTGCTCCCAGGGTGGGGAGCGACCACGTGCAGGAACGTGCAGAGGGAACTCGGTGCCACCGACCCTGGCCCTGGATTCTGGCACCTGCATCCTCACTGTTCTCTCCACTTGCAGGTTGGATCCCTAAGAGGCCCTTCCACCCCAGATGACAAGCCACTTGTTGCCCCCAGGATAAGGTCCACGTCTTCAGGTACACCCCCGCTCCCGCCCCCTACCCTAGGCAAACCCCCGTTTCTCCATCCTATTGTTTCTTCTTGCAGGACTCTCATACCGCCCAGGAGTGGCCCCCTGAACCCCACCCCTGAGTACCAGAGTGGTTCCACCCTCCTTCTCATCCCCAGGAGGAGGCAGATTCCAAAGCGGAAGTTTAAGGGATGCTTTATGGGAATGGGGGAGGATGGAAGGGTGGGGCTGCCCAGGAACCTTTTACATGAAAGACTCCGGTGGCTGCTACCGCCACCAAGTAGGGTCCCTGAGCCTCACAGCTGCCTCAGCCCTGTTCTTTTTTATCTACTTAGAGTGCTCAGCGGGGTCATGGCAAGCCGGAGAAGCAATGCTAATGACTCCGGCTCCACGTGGCCACCATTCAGGGGGAAAAAAAAAAAGCTGCAATGTTCTCTCTGCCACATTAATCAGAGAAACACATCGAGAGCCGGTTGCATGGAGACAGCTTTCCTCGTGGTACCTGCCCTGCATGCTAATCACCTCCCCTCCTGGCAGTGAGTCAGCTCTGAGCCTTGGCTGGTGGCAGAGAGGCCTGGCCAGGAGCACCAGCTCCACTCAGGTGTCACAAGCCAGAGCTGTGGCACCTTGTACCCTACCCAGATGCCCCTCACCCCAATGCCCATCGTCCACCACTGTCCATCCCCTGGTATAAATTTTGGATCACTTCCCTTGCCGCTTAAGACTTCCCTCCCAGGTCCAAAGGGAATTCTCTAGAAACTAGTTTCTGAACAGAGTCTGATTAAAGTAAGAGGGGACTCACTGTCAGGCCCTTGGATAACAATGACATCACCTTAGATGGTATTCGGCGGGTGGCAGTCACAAACATAAGCAGTCTAGACAGATTAGCTCATTTGATTCTTATGTAACCTTTCAGATTCTTCACGGATGTGACTCCGAGTTTACAGGTAAACTCACACAGAGAAGTTTAGGGAGCAACCCAAGGTCACACACCTATAACACAAGGAGACTGAACCCTGAACCGTGGCCTCCCATTGCTCTCCCTGGGCCTGGCTCTCCTGAACACAATAAAGCCTCTGAATCGTTTTACACATAAAGGTCATCCATTCGTTAATTCAACAACTATCTGTTGGACCTACTGCCTGCCAGGCTCATAGCTAGGCACCAGGGAGCTATCAGTAAATGAAAGAGATCACAGACGGAGGGGTGATTGACAGGAATTTCACAAATTCATAGTCATGGAAAACGCGGTAAACTGGGCAGTGGTGGCACAGACCTTTAATCCCAGCACTTGGGAGGCAGAGGCAGAGTTCAGGGCCAGCCTGGTCTACAAGAGCTAGTTCCAGGAAACATGGGCTGTTACACAGAGAAACCCTGTCTCGGAAAAACAAACAAACAAACAAACAAAACCTGGTGAGCGCCCGCGTAGAATCAGGTCTTTTCAGGGGTCCAGAGAAACATTTGTCAAAGAAATGACGCACAGAGACTAATATTTCACAGTGCAGTCTTTGTGTCTGGACAGTGATGGCGCTGGGCCCTGTGTTGGCAACGGGAGCATCCGCAAAAGGGAACTTGTTCAGAAAGGCGGGCGCAGGTATGGTGTCAAATACTTGTTACCCCAACATTCAGGAGGTGGAGGCAGGAGGATCCAGAGTCCCAGGCCAGCCTGGGCTGTTCCATGAGACCCTGTATCAAAGAAGGAATTCAAACTCTCAGGCTCCACCCCTGACGTACCGAGAACACAGGATTGTGCAAAGACCATGTGCCTTGGCCGACCCCCCCCCCCCAACTTCACCCCAGGTCTGAATCAGGGCCAACACTCCTGGGGAGAGGGGAACAGGAAGGGCCTAAAGGAAGGCAGAAAGACAGTGTCCCTCTGGAGACCCTTGCGGCTGACTTTTTCTTCAGCTTCCCTTGTCCCTGCTTGGGGCATACCACCTCTACTACAAGCCTGCAGGTGTGTGAAGGCAGAGTGGCCTGGACCGGGACTGGCCTGTAGGTGTGGGAAGCAGTTCTGCCCTGAGTCATTGTTCAACCAGGAAGCTTGGCCAGAGGGGAGCCTGGAGGAAGAGCAAGCAAGTCACTGAGTTGAATTTTCAGGCTTGAGGTGGGTAAGAGGGTGGAGTGGCTCCCGAAGGTGTAGAGGTCTCCAGTCCCCTGACGTGACAGTCCTTTGGTTTCCAGGAAGCTCCAGTTTAGATCATGAATCCCGTTGCCGGGGACGTTTCTTCCCTAGTGCCCAGAAAGGACCCCAAAGACCGCCTTCCTTGTTCTCCACAGTCTGCCCAGGATCTGAGGAGCCAGTTGGCTCTCAGCTAGAGATTAGTTTCCGGGCACAGGGTCCCCAGAGGTGGCTTCACCCCTCCTCTAGAGACAGCCCTGGCTGTAGCAGACCATGCATAGCCCTAAGCACGCAGCATCCTGCATAGAAGAGTTGCTGGTGTTGCTATGAGTAACTGAAGCCAGGAAGGAGCTTGTAGTGGGGGACTGGCCACTGTCTCCAGGCTCAACAGTTCAGACGAGGTGTGGCTACCCCTGCTGCCTAGAATCGCTGGCCTAGAAATAAGCCAATGTTGGTGACAACCAAACAGCCTCCAGGCCCCACGTCTACCGGAATTTATGGGACACGTACTATGTATGACTAGACATTGCGTGAGGCCCCTTTGTGTGTCCCCTGCGAAAGCAGTTGGTCTTCAGACCCTCCCTCCTGTCCTTCTGTCCACAGCGTGTATTGATCACTATCGCTGCTGGCAGCACATCAAGATGGGGGGAGGTGGCACAGGCACAGATGTTCCAGAGACATGTTCTGAGGGACAAGATTGATATTTCCGAGTGTCTTATTATTATTATCACTATTATTGTTATTATTATTGCTGTGTACTTATTTTTGCTTCTCGGAGACAGGGTTCCTCTCTGTGCCTCTGGCTGTCCTAGAACTAGCTCTGTAGAGGTTGTGTGGCCACCTCACTCCTCTTTGTGACCTTGTATTTAGGGCGTCGTGGGCATTAGTTGTGAATGAGCTAATGTCCCCAGAACCTAGCTGCTCTCTTGGTGTGGGATATAGGCCTGCGACCAATTTGTTTTGTCCCTGCTCTTCCCCCTAGAACAAGGAAAGAGGAAGCAAAGACTCCCTGGAAATTGAAACCAGACCCATCATAGTCCTGGCAGCCACATGAGTCTCCAGGCCAGAGGGCCTCTCTTTGAGAACAGAGAGCCCTGGAGGGCAATAGGCCCTGTGCCCAGCATGGCAAGTCAGGCTAAGGAATGCAGTGCCAGGCAAGATAAATACTTTTGGGGTCTTGGCCTAGCACTGGGGACTGTTTGTGACTCCATTAGAGGCAGGTTTGGCTCCAGCCAGAAACCAGAGTGCTGGCTCGGGCTTAGGCCTGGCAATGGGCCGACCGCCAACATGGAGGCAGGAAGAAAGCTGTTTTTACCCCTTCCCACCCTCCTAGGGATCAGTGGGAATGGGGGGGCCAGAAAAAGCAGCTGAGTTTGAAGTCCTACTCCCACTTTGTTGGGTTCCTCACCAGTGCTTCTCGGAGGTCCCCAGGGAAGTGCTCTCCCTCTGTGAGGGCCGCCTCTATACAAGCACTACTGGACTTGGAGCAGACGGACATTGTGCCCCTCCAGTGTGGCAGTGGCCTTCTGACGTTGGTTCGGGTGACATTCAGGCATCTCACCCGTGATTCCGCCTTGTCTAGTGGAAGCTGATGGATGGACTTGGGAGAGAGAGGTCTTCCCAGAAGGGCAGGCCTGGGGAAGCAATCGGGCAACAAACAGAACAAACAGAAGAGGCAGTGTTCCAGCTCTCTCCGCTCTTTGTTTTGGAAACAAAAATGCAGAGGAAAAAAAAAGTGAGCTGGTGGCTCAAACCTGTAATCTTAGTACCCAGGAATCTGAGGCAGGGGGAGCACCATGAGTTTGAGGCCAGCCTATGCTACAGAGTCAGGTCTGTGTCAAAATAAATAAGCAAATAAACAATGAGAAACAGCAGCAGCAACAGGAAAGCAGCTCCTTTCATGCCTGTTCCTGACCAGCGTCACCACTGTCCCCGGCAATAACCGTAAGCGACATGTACCACGCCAGACTTTCCAGGTGTTTACATAGAGAACACACACATGCTCGCGTATGTATGGGGTCAAGTTCTTTGTTTCATGGCGGTTTTGCACAAATGGCTGACCGGATTACTCTGCAGTTGCTTGCTTGGAACAGTCCACGCTGACTTCCTCTTGGGGGAAGTAGCCTTGTTTGATTTTTCTTAGCTTTTCTGCATAACAGTCCGCGCGTGGCTATAGCATTGACAGCTGGTTCGGTAGCTTCTCCTCCGCCTCTGCTCTCCCTCGGGGAGCATGAGCCAGCTTTTGTAGTAAATGGCATGTCTACCCGATTCCAGGGGCCACCACCCACTCTCAGAATGTGACAGCCCTGCCTGACGGACAGTTGAGGTGTCTCTGATTGTCACCCCACCGACAGTCCCCCAGGGAGCATGTTGCCTGGGCTTTCTGGGTGCATGTGAATAGTTTTTTGGCCATCGCTTCCTCTGGTGAAGCTGGTGGGCAGAAGCTCCTCTTGGTGGATGCTGCTACAATGTGGCAGGGTGGCTTAGGGCTCCCTGGTTTCCTCAGCCCTCAGCCATACAAGTCTCAGTAGCACACACATATCCCACGTGACTGCTGACTGAGTGGCCGTTTCCAGGAAATCGATTGTAAAGACCTCAGAGTGTCAGTGGCTCACACACTGGAGGCAGTCCAGGGAGTAGATAAAACTGTATGAGAAAAATCACATCCTGAGCTCAAGACGGCTGGTAATGGGGGCCCTGCGGTGACCTTTCTGGAGAACTTATAGTTTCACACTTGCTCGCTCTCCACCTCCGGCCCCTGCACAAGGGTAGTCCCTCTCTGTCTTTGAAGGAGTCTCTCTCCTCATGAATAGGTCTGGCTACTAGGTCCAGGGTCCAAGCTGTCTTTGTAGCCAGGGGCTATCAAACCCTCTCCTAGTCCCAGACCGGTGGCTCCTCCCAGCTGGGCACAGCCCACCCCCCCACCCCCCACATACATACACATACACAAACACAGGTGCCAGGGCTGCTATTCAGACGAACCCTCCTGTCCTCCCTGACCGTCCAGAACATTCAGGCACTCAGCCTGCTCAGTCTAAGGACACAGGAGCCCTCAGGCAGAGCCTGTTCCTCTGGGCCAAGTGGAGTCGGTGTTTTTCTTCTGAGAAATCATAGACTACATTGCAGAGGGGTCTCCTGCCTTGCCTAGCACGGGGCTGCCTGCAGCAGCCTCTCCCGTTCTCCATAATGGCCCAGCAAGGGAGAAAGGGAGGCGGGAGCAGAATCAAGAAAGGGGAAAAGAAAGGATGAAAAGCAAAAAGTCGGGGGTATGAGAAGAGGGAGGTGTGGTGGGCAGCGGCAGATCCTTGGGCGGGGCCGGAACACCGCAGCGCTGAACACAGCGCATCGCACACGGCGGGAACGCAGCCCATCACCGTGGGTGCAGAGGCAGCTACCGTCCATGTGTTTCATCATCTGCAGATTCTCTCATTGAATCGTTACACTGATGCCAGCATGATTAGTAGCTCTCATTAGTTTTACACATATAATATGAAGCTGGGTCATTTGTTCAGTTGTCCCAGCTGGTAGGTGACAAAGCCAGCATGCTATCTGATCCCAGAGCTCCATCACTATAAGGAACCATTTCTCTCCCGTGGCCAGCCCGAAGCCAGTAGGATTTCCAGGGAAGCCGGCATTAGCCCTTCAGTGTGACTTTGCCCTGTGCCCTGCACCCCTGTCCCCAACCCTGCCAGTCCGTACCCTGCCTCTGAGGTCAAGGGGAACTCAGGTTTGGTCTGTTGGGATCTTGTGCCTTAATCTTGGAACAGCTCTATGTCTGGTACAAGAGGCCAGCGGACGAAGGGAGAGTCAAATGAGGTCCCCACAGTCTGATGTCTCTCCTCAGCCCCGGTACAGGTGCTCAGGAAATCTCCACTGTGCATCAGAGACTCGTGGAGTGAGTGATTGTATTTATTTATTTGGTTTTTTTTTGAAACAGGGTTTCTTTGTGTAGATCTAACTATTCTGGAACTCACTCTGTAGACCAGGCTGGCCGTGAACTCACAGCAATCCGCTGCCTTTGCCTCCCGAGTGCTGGGATTAAAGGCATGCACCACTATGCCCGGCTGAATGGTTGTTTTTATTGAGACAGGGTCCTTCAGTGCTGGGGATGGAGCTCATCTGGTAGAGTTGAGTACTTACTTGCCTAGCATGCATAAAAGTTCAATCCTCAGGAGAGCATAAACAGGGCATGGTAGTGAACACAGGAACATGCATGATCTTGGCACTGAAGAAGTGGGAGGTGAATCAGGTCAACTTTATTCTCAGCTACACATGAGTTCAAGGCCAGCCGGAGCTATCTGAGACAGCATCTCCTCTAAAAGATATTTGAATACATTTTATTTTTCAATGTGTATGGATGTTTTGCCTCTGTGTGTATATGTCTGTGCACCACATGCCGCCTGGTGCCCTTAGAGACGTGAGGAAAGTATAGCATCCCCTGGATGTAGAGTTACAGACAGTTATGGGCTGTCACATGGTTTCTGGGGATCAAATCTGAGCCTCTAGATTGTAGCAGGGTTATTCACACCTTTAATCCTGGTATGCAGGTGAGGGGTGGGGTGGGCAAAGGCAGATGGATCTCTGAACAAGTTCTCCTAAGATGGCTGGGCCATCTCTCCAGATCCCATGAGACCCCATCTCAGAAAACAAAACAAAACAAACCACAGCAAAAGGGGCATTTATATGTTGACCCGCTTTCCTGGATCCAAACAACCTTTCTACGTAGTAGCTGGAACTACGTGCATAAGCCGCCATGTCTAGCTCATGTGGTACCAGTCATGTCAATAGATATAAAGTACATCTCTCTGTTGTCCTGAAAAAAATGCCCTATATCTTATTCCATCAAAAATAAAAGCAGGTTAGAGGCTGGAGAGATGACTCAGTGGTTAAGAGCACTGGCTGCTCCTGTAGAGGACCTGGGTTCAGTTCCTAGCACATGGAGGCTCACAACCATCCATAACTCCAGTTCTAGGGGATCTGATGCCTTCTTCTGATTTTTTTTCTTTTTTTTTGAACATCAGGTCTACACATACATGCCAGCAAAACACTCAAACATATAGAATGAAAACATATAGAATGAAAACAAATATTTGGTGGGGGAGAATTTTGTCTGTATTCTGTCAATCATGTTTTAAATAAACGCTCATTGGCCAGGCAGGAGGTGTAGGCGGGAAAGCCAGACAGGAAGTGGAAATGATGCAAGAAGAGCAGGAGAATTCTGGGGAGGAGGAAGTTGATTCCTCCTACTCCTGCCCAGATCACCGAAGCAGCAGGATGTGAGCTGCCCCACTGAAAAAGGTACTGAGCCACATGGCTAAAATAGATCAGAAAAATGGGTTAATCAAGATATGAGAGTTAGCTAGTGGGAAGCCTGACCTATGAGTCAATCAGCATTATAACTTATGGAGTCCTGTGTGGGTGATTTTCTCTGGGACTAAATAATTGTGGGGACCTGGTGGGAGGACAGAAAAACCCACAAACAAGCAGGCCATGTTGCAAATATTTTCATGTTACAAATATTTTTTGTTTTGTGTTTTCAAGACAGGATTTCTCTGTGTATCCTTGGCTGTCCTGGAACTTGCTCTGTAGACCAAGTTGGCCTCGAACTCACAAAGATCTGCCTGCCTCTGCCTCTGCTTCCAGAGTGCTGGGATTAAAGGTGTACATCACTACCAACAAGCCAAACATAATCTTTTTCTTTTTTTAGATGTATTTATTTTTATTTTATATGCATTGGTGTTGTGCTTACATATGTCTGAGGGTGCCAGGGTCCCTGGAACTGGAGTTACAGACAGTTGTGAGCTGCTGCTATGTGGGTGCTGGGAATTGAACCCTGGTCCTCTGTAAGGGCAGCCAATGCTCTTAATCACTGAGCCATCTCTCCAGCCTCCCAAAAATAAATCTTAAAAGAAAAAAAAATGCGGGTCGGAGGCTGAGTGGTGGTAGAGTGCTGGTCGTACAAACACTAACGCCTGTTTTTTTCCTAGCAGACACCCCGCGCTCCCGTGAAGAGCCTGGAGTGATCTTGTGCATGTGCAATCCCAGTACTGGGACCCGGACACCAGTGGATCCCTGGGGCTTGCTGACAGCCAGCCTCATTTAATCAGTGAGCTCCAGGTTCCTGTGAGAGACCTTGCCTCAGAAAAATCAAGGTGCCTGGCATTCCTGAGGGTAATATCTGAGGCTGACCTCTGTCCTCACGGCTTACTCAGGCACACACAGAAGGAAAACGCAAGTGAGGCTATCAGGCTGTGTAACAGCAAGACGCCGTTTTATTAATGAAACAAAAGGAGGCTTTATGAGACGGATATCTGCCAAGGTGTTAACAGCTGATTTTTGTTGTTTTCTTTTGGCTTATCTGTGTTTCCTGGTTTTTTTTTTTTCAATGAATATCAATTATTTGCATGGTTTTAAAGAGCAATAAAAATAAATCAACTCGGGCTGGAGAGATGGCTCAGCGGTTAAGGGCATTGCCTGCTCTTCCAAAGGTCCTGAGTTCAATTCCCAGCAACCACATGGTGGCTCACAACCATCTGGAATGAGGTCTGGTGCCCTCTTCTGGCCTGCAGGCATACACACAGACAGAATATTGTATACATAATAAATAAATAAATATTAAAAAATAAATAAATAAATAAATCAACTCCAGACGGGTTGTACTTTTTCCTCTGCTCATCCCCAACCCAACTGCTCTCAAAAAAATGTGCATATATATGTCAATCATTACAACACTCTCGAATATTCCCCTTTTCTCCCTCTGTCGCTTGGACAACTGGGTTGAAGGGAGGGGCCGGCTGCTCCCAGAAGCCCCCTGCTGATGATTGGCTGCGGAGAAGGCTGTAGCCTCCTGAGGGCACCTGGAGGCCTTCCTCCCTTCCTCCCCACTTCCTTCCTTCTCTCCTCTGCCAAACCCGTCAACCCCAGCAGGAAAAGGTGGGCTTTCCACCTTATTGTTTGTTTATGCAGACGATGCTGGCTTAGGGGGCTAGGAGCTCTGACCCACTCCGCGATAGCTTTGCTGGTGCCAACCTGGAGCCCAGGGACACATGGTAGGGTGTGGGACCCCCCCTCTCCATTGCTGAAGAGAAAACTGGCATCATTGTGGCAAAATAAAGAGCTACGGAATTGTAATCGCTGGTGCCTGCCCCTCTATGCTGTGTGAGGAAAAGCAATGCCTTAGGGCACAGCCGTGCTGGTCCCTCCTGGAAGGCTGGAAGGAAGGGAGGGAAGGATGGGAACTGATTCTCCTGAGCTCCTGGATTCCCGAGCATCCATTGGGATATGGCTGGGGCCACTCAGGTAGCGAAAGCACTGGTTCAAGGAGGTCGGCTCTGGGTGACCACCAGCATCCTGGAGAGATAAATATGGCTCCTAAGGTCCTCTCTTTCCCAGGAGTGCATTGCCTGGGGATGCCAGTGCACAGACTCCTCTGGAACAAATCAAGACTGGATTTTTTTTTTTAGGGAAGGGAAGGTTTCCTGAAATCTTGCAGGTTTCATGATGAGCCACGGAGTTCATCTTTCCCACCGTCCATCCAAGAGGCAGCTAGGAGCTAGGAGACCTCCTTGACCCTGTAAAGCTAGGCTTCAAGGAAAGAAACAGGGGGCTCTTCATGCCACCCTGGCCCCATCCAGAAAGAGCCCGTGTCAACCCAAGGCTTCGTACACACGGATGGGGCTGGTACACTTAATGGGGAGACAGGAGACCATCGTGCCCTTCCGGTTCTATGACCAATCACCTTGACCAAGTCACCCACCCCCAACCCTTCTGCCCACACAGTGTAGTGTAAAAACAGGTTCCGAAGGGTGTGGCTGAAGAATCCCCAGCTGCCAGCTGATATATCTGCTCTACCTGGGAGTCTGGTGCTAAATTCCAGTGACCCAGTATAAACCGGCGGCGTGGCTGCAGAAATCCAAGTGTGATCGATAGCGACATCATGTGGACACAATGGGTAACTGCGTCAGCTTACACAGCCGCCTCCGGGTGACATCCAGCTTCCTTCATTAAGGGGAGAGGAGCTGATTGCAATTAATCACACTCATCATCTTACGTGGGGAGCTGTCTTGGAGCTGGCAAAGGAACTCCCAAATCAGAAGACAGTCTCCCAGCCAGATCTCCCTGTCGTCAGCCTTCAGCTAGACACCTGTTTTGTTTAAATTTTCAAATACCAGTCTGATAGAAGAGCCTAGTATAATGACGGGAGAGTGATGGTAATCACGATGTTAATAAAAATTTAACAGGCTGTTTACTCTTGCTACGATTCTCGCAGGCACCACCTCATTTCACGTTCCCAACAGCCCGGGAGGTCCTTATTCATGTCTCCAATTTTCTGATGCAGAATTTGGGCTATGTCCTGGAGGGGAAGCTAGGTTTCAAACCCGAGCAGCCGGCGTTAGTCTCCATTTTCTTTGTTTTGTTCGGAGTCAGAGTTCTACCATGCAACTCAGGCTGGCCCCATACCCAAGATCGCAATGCTTCAGTCTCCTATGTGCTGGGCTGGCAGGCGCTTGAGTTCCTTCCTGCCTTTTTCTTTTCCCTTCTTCCCTCCTTCCTTCTTTCCCTCTCACCATCCTTATCCTCCCCTTTTAAAATAATACTTCATGTGTATAGATGGTGTGCCTGTGTAACATATACCTGCTTGGATCACTTGGGACTGGAGCTGGAGATGGTTGTGAGCCATCATGTGGGCACTGGAAATTGAACCTGGGTCTTCTGGAAAAGCAGACAGTGCTTTTTTCTTTTTTTTTTCTTTCTTTTTTTTTAAGATTTATTTATTTATTATGTATACAGTATTTATTTATTATGTATACAGTGTTCTGCCTGCCAGAAGAGGGCACCAGATCTCATTACAGATGGTTGTGAGCCACATGTGGTTGCTGGGAATTGAACTCAGGATCTCTGGAAGAGCAGCCAGTGCTCTTAACCACTGAGCCATCTCTCTCTCTTCCTTTCCCTTTCCTTTCCTTCCCTTCCCTTCCCTTCCCTTCCCTTCCCTTTCCCTCCCCTTCCTTTCCCTTCCCTTCCCTCCTCTCCCTTCTTTTCCCCTCCTCTCCCTTTCCCTCCCCTTCCTTTCCCTTCCCTTCCCTCCCTTCCCCTCCCTTCTCTCCTCTCCCTTCCCTTTCCCTCCCCTCCCTTCCCATCTCTTCCCCACCACATCACCACATCTCCCTCTTCTCATATCCCTGACTTTTTGCTTTTCATCCTTTCTTTTCCCCTTTCTTGATTCTGCTCCTGCCTCCCTTTCTCCCTTGCTGGACCATTATGGAGAACGGGAGAGGCTGCTGCAGGCAGCCCCGTGCTAGGGAAGGCAGGCGGCCCCTCTGCAATGTAGTCTATGATTTCTCAGAAGAAAAATGCCGACTCCACCTGACTCAGAGAAGCAGGCTCTGCCTAAGGGCTCCTGTGTCCTTAGACTGCAGGCAGGCTGAGTGCCTGAATGTTCTGGAAAGTCAGGGAGAGCAGGGGGTTGCCTGAATAGCAGCCCTGGCACCTGTGTTTGTGTTTGTGTGGGGGAGGAAATATGCTGTGCCCAGCTGGGGAGGAGCCACAGGTCTGGGACTAGATAGATGGAGCCCTGATCTGGACTAGATGCTAGTCCCTGGCTACAAAGACAGCTGGTACACTGGTTTGAATTCCCCAGAGTGCTAGTGAGTGGTTCTCATTGGCAGTGAGAGTGGTTACACGGGAGAGTGTAGTTGTACTTTTTTGTCAGGACCACCAGCCCACAAATAACGACACAGAGACTTCTTAGTAATTATGAAAGCTTGCCCTTTAGCTTCAGCTTGTCCATGACTAGCTCTTATAACTCAAATTAAGTTGCTTCTATTAATCTACATGGCTTTTTTTTTTTAACCTCTCCTCTATTCTGTATCTCTGACTTGGTCAGTCTGCATCTCGCTAATTCTCTCCAGTGCCTAGACTCTCTCCTCCCCACTCCTCTCTCTGCCTGGAAGTCCCACCTATTCTCTCCTGCCTAGTTATTGGCCGGTCAGCTTTTTATTAAGCCATTCAGAAGGCCCCTTGGCAAAGACACATCTTCACAGTGTACAAAGGTTATCCCACCACATGGGAGAGGCTTTAGGGTTAAACAGGCCAGACTGGGTCCCCCCTGCTCCTTTACTCACTATCCCTAGCCACATGACCCAGGCCTCATTCCTGAGCCTCATTTTCTTGGACTGTAAATGTCCATCAGGCACTCTGAGCTTCGGGGGATGCTGTGACAACTAGAGAAGCCACTCACTGCTGAGTGACATTCAGGAAGTGCTGGCCTTGTTTCTCTGCAATTTGTGCAGTTCCACCTGGGGAGGAGCCTCCTGACAGATTTCTGAAGTTCGCAGATTCTCATCCAACCTTCTTGAAAAGCACTGCTCTGACACAAGAAAGATAGGCTGGTGTTTGAAAGGAGGCTTGTGAGCTTTGGAAGGAGTTGCTGGTTTTCTGGTTCTAGATTTCTCCAAAGGAGTTATTTAGCCAGGTTGGCAAAGCAGAAACAAGACTTTAGTATTTTGAGCCCTATCTTTTCCCGTAAAGAAACCATTGCCCAAAGAGCAGAGTCCCAGCAGCCTTGAAGTGTCTGGAGAGACCCCCAGAACTAAGGACCATCCTCTGTATAGTTAAGGAAGCATGGCTTAAAGATCAGAAGTGGGGTGTCTGGATGCTGGTTCCAGCTCGGGTTTTCTTCCTGCCTCTCTGAGGTCACGTGGTCATAAGCGTCTTCTGGGAATGCCTTTGTGTTTTTCTTCCCACCTCCACAACAGGCAATGCCATCTTCTTGCCCATCTCTGTCTACTGGCAGAGGTATGACCATGATTAACACTGGTCATGAACACATTGCCTATCCTTTAAGACAGCATCTGGTCTTTGAAATCTATATTATTGCTTTACAAGTTGTCCTGACTAAATACCAAACAAGAAACAACTTAAGGGGAGCTGGAGAGATGGCTCAACCATTGTGAGCACTGACTGCTCTCCCACAAGTTCTGGGATTCATTCTCAGCACCAACATGTTGGCTACAAATCTTCTGTAACTCTGAGCCCAAGGAATCTTTTGCCCTCTTCTGGCCTCCAGAGGCACTGCACACATGTGTGGCATAGCAGGACTTGCAGGCAAAATGCCCATTTACCTATTTTTTTTTTTTAAAGAAGAAACTACCTTTAATCCCAGCACTTGGGAGGGAGAAGCAGGTGGATCTCTGAGACCAAGACCAGCCTGGTCTGCAGAGCGAGTTCTAGGACAGCCAGGGCTACTCAGAGAAAGCCTGTCTTGAAAAACCAAAACCAATGGGGGCTGGAGAGATGGCTCAGTGGTTAAGAGCATTGCCTGCTCTTCCAAAGGTCTTGAGTTCAATTCTGAGTTCAATTCCAGCAACCATATGGTGACTCACAACATCTGTAATGAGATCTGGTGCCCTCTCTGGTCTGCAGGCACACATGTAGGC